ACAGGTTCGGATCCCGGGCACACACCGACGCACCGCTTGTCAACCCATGCTGTGGTGGCGTCGCAAATAAAGTAGAGGAAGATGGGCACAGATGTTAGCCCAGAGCCAATCTTCCTCAGCAAAAAAGAGGAGGATTGGCATCAGATGTTAGCTCAGGGCTGACCTTCCTCACACACACACACACAAAAACATAAACTATCCAGAAAAAGAGCAATTTCCAGAAGCTGCATCTTTTCAGTTTTAAGTCAATGGATTTCACTAGAAAAATTCTGTCGTTTCATTTGAAGACATCAGCAGTTGATCATTCAATCAGCAAATACACATTGCATATTTACTATATGCCAGGTACTCCATGGGCTACAAAGATAGCATAAAAATATGGTTCCTACCTTAAAGAGTTAAAATCAATCCCAGCGATAAGAAATGTACCAAAAATCTCCCAAGATGGTCAAAGTGCCATACAAATGAAACAAATCAACTGCTCTAGAAGCAATTTGGGAGGCCAGGAAAGAAAGGTCACTTTCCAGATCAGGTATGAAAAGGAAAGGCTGATGAAAGAGCTAAATCCTGGGCTGAATAATGAAGGATGAATAAAAGTTCTAATACAGTCACATCGCTTAACAACAGGGATATGTGCTGAGAAAAATGTCATTAGGAGAGTTCGTCATTGTGCACTCTCAGAGAGTACTTACACAAACCTAGTTGGTATAGCCTACCATACACCTAGGCTATGTGGTACTAATCTTAGGGACCACTGTCGTATATGTGGTCCGTCATTGACTAAAATGTCGTTACACTGCGCATAAATGTATTAGAAATAGGTCAAGGAGGGCTTTCTAAGAAAAAAGAATAGCATGAACAGAATTAAGAAGACGGGGAAGTGTTCCAGGAACAGTGAGTATTTAAAATGGGAACAGTGTAGATTGTTTTGGTAGGGAAGAAGTAAGTAAGAAGGCTAGAGATTAGGCTAAGGCCAGAGTGTAGAGGATTTTGAATGCCATGCTAAGGAATCTGAATTTTATCACATGGGTAATGATGTACTACTAATGACATGAGAAAAGGACAAACAGAAGCAAATGGTACTTTAGAAAAATTAATCTGGTAGTGGTAAACAAGATGAACTGGAATAGGGTAGTTGAGAGGCAGGGAGACCAGTTAGAAGGTGACTATAAGTAAAATAGGAAGGACAGTGAACTCAGATGGAAGTAACAGAAACAGAATTCTTTATATGATAAGGCAGTTTACAATTTTTTGTATTTCTATATATTTCATGGGAATTTCATATAAATTAACTGCCCAAATCAAGCCAAGGGGCCCCAATCATGAGAAGCTATAAATGCCTATACAAAAACTTACTGCATTCCAAAATCTGCAAACCATAAAGGTTATCTGAGACATAATCATGTACCAATCAAAGGGCAGAGTTCATTTTCCAAAAGACACAATCTAGTTACTATCAGCCCTAGAAGGTTCACATTATTTCTATACTAACATTTAACAATACTCTAGGGAAGTAACAAACAATCATGTTTTGAGGACAAATATTTTTTGCATTTTTTTTCTTTCCATCATCTTTATCAGTGCAGATATTTGCATGAAAACAGGATCACTGGTCCTTGGGGATTCATCAGTTCCTATTGCTTATTTTTCATCCATGTCATTCTTTCAATTAATGCAGGAAAGAGGACTGAGACATTGAAACACCAGATTAGGGTATCAAGTAAATGTCAACCCGTAGAGTAGATGAATAATCTGTAAGGACAAAAAAAGATCTTGCTTTTATGCAAATACACTATACACAATAAAGAAAGAGAGACTGTATCCAAGAAGTCCAATACATATCAATGTAATTCTTTCCAATTCTAAATTTAAAAACTATTTTCTATATGTCAGCTAATTCATAATGATCAGGGAAAATGACAATCAGTTGCAAAGCACTGCTACGGAAGTTGAAATAAGGCTGAGTTTTGAACTAGAAAATAATTGTGAAAAACCTCAGCTGTTCTCATGGGAGTCATCTGGCGGAAATGAGCATTTCTGTTGCAGAATTTTAGTTCTGTGCTTAAGATGGCTGAGTTGGGTGCCTTCAAACTTCCCACCTCCAAAGCTTTAAGTTTTAGAAATGCAAACACTTAACAGTAATAATGGTTTTAACCGTGTGGATTAAAAACTAAAACTAAAAAAAACCACACCAAGTTTCTGATTCTGTGGAAAGCCATTAAAATAGACTTTATTGATGCTTAGAGAACCAACTCATTGTTCTAAAAACTGATAAAGAGAAAGAATCATTTATCCAGTAGGAACAGCTTTCAAGGTAATAAAAAATAGTTAATAAGATAAAGCCCATCACAGGAAAATTCTAGCTAATAAGAAGGAATGACAGAAGTAGAATATTACCATTTTCCAACCTGTAGTAAAATAGTGGATCTAGGCAGTCATCAAAGGCTGATGGAGAATTTTACAATGAATAATAGATCAGGCTAACAACACCTTTATCAATTAATTAATCTTAATATCACAAAAAGAAACAAGCAGACATGACCAATCTTCTGATGGATGCATACAACACCATTTACGAAATATTCTTGCCAAAATGAAAATAAAAATCAAGCCTATAGCTGTGCAAGCTTCTAGATCTAACTACCAGGAAATAAAAAGGGATAGATGAACGTATTAAGCACTACTAGAGGGATGTGAGCAACAAAATCCAGAATGTAGAAAATTCTACAGAACATATAACTAGATTTAATAAATGGCAAGGGAAAATAAAAGGGAGGTGCAACCATGACAGACTAAAAGAGACTTAAGAGACATATCAATCAAATACAGTATGTGAACCTTATTTACAGCCTGATTCAAACAAACCAACTGTATATGTAAAGACAATTATGAGTCAATCAGGGAAATCTGAATCCTGATTGGCTATCTGATGATATAAAGCAAGTCTGTTAAAATTTTTTAGTCATAATAATGGAATTGTGGTTATATTTTTTTTAAAAAAAAGGAGAGAGAGAGTCCTTGTCTTTTTAAATCACACATGAAGTTATTTAGCAATGAGGTAATATGATGCCTGCGACTTGCTTTAAAATAATTATGGGAGGTTTGTAGAAGTGAAACAGATTGGACATATGTTGACTATTGAAGCCAGGTCATGAGTACACGAGGTAATTATTCTGTTCTCTCTATCTTGGTATATATACATTTAAAATTTTCCATAACAAAAAGTGGGGAAAGAAAATACTGCATTATCTTTCTGAGTAGGAAAGCAGAAAAACTAATCAGAGGGAATATAACAATTTCAACTACAACTAACTAGAGATAATACTGTTGATAAATACATTTGGTAATGTAGGATCTTCTTGATACAGCAAGCATAAAATTTATTTCATGAAAAAAATTGACAGAGAGACAAAGGATTGATCATTATGATCATTACAGCATTTATTATCCAGAGCTAGAAAAAGAATCAAGTTCTATATGATACAAGCCTTGCATTCATGAATTTAATAATCGCAGATTTGCCTTTTCATTATAAACCCTGGAGGTCCATGAAATACACGGCAATTGGTACTTTTGCCAAGACATAAACTTTAATCACGAGAAATGACCAGTACACAGAGGAGAGTGAGGTAACAATGAGTGAACCTAGCAGACCACCTAGCAACCACATCTCAAAGCAGTTTGTTATATTCTGCTCCTTGATTCATGAAGCGATTAAAAGATGTTTTCTCGGTAAAAGAAAGCCAACTACTAACGCCAATATTGAAAATAAAGAAAAGATAAAGAGGGCTAAGGAAGTGATGACTATTAGTCAAAAATTAGAAGTTTTAAATTAAATTTTAAAGTGAAATGTTGAATTTGACAGTAACAAATCAATGACATGAACAAATCTACTATACGCTCTACAAACAAGAAAAACAATTTGTGAAACTGCTTTTGGGATTGCTCTACACAGTGCAAAACTTGCAATTATGAAGAAAATTATAAGCTACAGTAGCTTCTCAAAACTGTGGATTTACGAAGGTCTCAGGATGTACACATTGGGAACAAAGTTCTAACCACTGTATTTATGTTGAGTATCTCTTTCAATTACAAAGTGAGAATTTCCAGTTCCTTTTCCAGTTTTATAATGAATACAGTATGGAAAAAGACACAATTTATAAAGAAATAATTTTAAACTAAAAGAATGGAGAGCAGACAGGAATAAATGAGAACTTTTAAAATATTACTCATGGTAGATTACGTTCTCGGTGTGCTATCTATCCCTTTCTTTGGGGAACTAATTGTTCCCTCCCATTCCATGTGATTTGAGTCAGACTAACCCTTCCAATCTGCATCTGCACCCAGGACCTAGGCTTGATCCTTCGGAGTGCTCCATGCTACCTGGTTAAAAGACTGGTTTCAGGATACGTATGTGAGCCAAGACGAACAGAGCTCTCACCAGGACCTTTTTTTTTGGAACATTCAGAAAACAGGTTCTTTCTTTGGGGATTATGAGATTTAAAGACACATAAACTAGAGCTCCTTTTGGCCACCTTCCCCAGGTCTAGGAAAAAGCCATCTGAAGCACCAAAGAATAAGACTAACATACGAATGAAGCAAAGCCCTGAGATACAAAACAAAAGCAAGAACAAGAGCACATCCCAGTGACATCATTAAGAGTCAGGGATCTAGATATTCTCAAAGCTATTTCTACTCCTGGAATTTTGATTTATGTGAACTAGTAAAGTTCTTCTTTTGCTTAAGCTAGTTTGATTTGACATTCTATCACTTAAAACTGAAAAGGTTTCCAATATACTTTTACTGTACAGAGAAAAATAAATTGTTACCTAGTAAACTCAACAATTATTCCAGCACACACTATCATAAAAGGCACACTTTAGATTACAGTGACTTCTTACCTTCAGAACACCTAATAAAGATACTTTCTGATTTATAGCTAGAACTCATCATGAAATACACAACATGCAACCCTGAATAAATGTGCTCTGGGTACTCACACTCATCCAGCCCCAGCTGATAGGCCAAGTTCTGTAGGCCTCGTACCTTCTCCATCAAATTAGCTGTGGTAAGGCTCCCCAGTTCTGAAACAGAGTCATTTATTTCAATACCATTTCTTTCCACTGTTCTCTAGCAACAACTCATTTGGATTGGGAATCCTTGTTATGAAAGTTTTCAAGCTTAATTCCTAGTAAATAAGTAGAAAATGGATCCATATCTCTTCTCATTCGATCATTCCCCCTACACACACACACACACACACACACCTCTTTCCCACTACTGCAAAATGCCTCAAATGAGCTTGCTCACTTAATAAGAAGAGAGTTAGCATAAATACAATAGCAAATTATGTGTTTTATCCTAAGGATCCTTTTATAACATTTATTTTGCCTATCATACAAAATAAATACACCATTAAAATATGAAACATTGTGATTCGACATAGCATTGAGAAAGCCTACAGACAGATCTCTGTCTTGCAAAACGGACAGTGTCTCCACTGTCATTTATAAAACAGCAACTAAACACTTACTGTTCCCCATTTCCCTAAGTTTAGAAAGCAAAGACTAAATATTAATCCAAACTATCCCTTCAAATCAAATTCCTATAAAAATTTTTAAGTTTATCAGATAAAAAGACAGTATACTTAAAATAAAAACTTATTTTGCAGATTTTCACTTAAATAGTACTCAATTCCTTTTAGGTTTAAGACACAGGTCAATTTGTATGAAATATAATGCTATGATCCCTTATTAAAAATTTAAAGTTTCCTTAGAAAATATACACTGATGGGATATTATATAAATGTCTGTTTGGAACATTAGAACAATGAACCCGAGATGCCCTTGAGACTTAATTTTTCCATGGTTGGAGGAGGGAATCTGCATTTATGCATTTCATGCAGAACAATGAATTACTTCTGAAATCAAATAAAGGTGTTATTTTCTCCCACTTATCATGCCACACTCATTATCTGTATCTGGCATATGCAGACTTTCTTGATTTGTTCAGCCACTTAAATAGCTCAAGAATCCCAGAGTTTTAGCTTAATTTCAGTTTATTACTTCACAACCATCATGAATCTTATCACCAGAAGGATGATAAAAAATTAAATAAAGTAGAGCAAAATCAAGGAAAATTAATGTTTTTTAATTTAAATTTCCACTTTGTGGTTGAGTTCCAAGTCATTTATCAAACAACAATATTCACTACTTACAGTATTCTTTACGGGAAAAATTGATTGGATAGAAAGAAATAAAAGACAGGTTTTAACCCACTAAGGGGTTGTCAATTAATAGTACTGACAACAATATATGCCAGTAAATCCTAAATAAGGCACTTGTGTTATAGTTGTAAGAGACTAGACTTAAAAGATCAGAGTTTAAATTTTAACTCTTTCTAATAAATCTTGGTTAAGTTAACCTCTGAACCTTAGATATCATCATTCCTAATTCACAGGACCTTTATGAGAATTAAATGAGAATATCTACATGAGAGCTTTTTGTTAACTGCAAACATTATACAAAATAAAGTTAATATTAAAGGAATTTAGCAGCAGAAGAAATCATTATGACTGAGTCTTGCACTGGCAGGATTGCTACACATGGAAAAGTAGAGGACGGCATTTAGAAAAGATTTTTTTTTTTTTTGGCCGGCCCCATGGCTTAGCGGTTAAGAGCGCGTGCTCCGCTGCTGGCGGCCCGGGGTTCGGATTCCGGGCGCGCACCGACGCACTGCTTCTCCTGCCATGCTGAGGCCACGTCCCACATAC